TGTCGAATCGTACGGTGTCGAATAATTTGGTGTCGAATAAATCTGTGTCGAATCGAGCGGTGTCGAATCGTACTGTGGTCAAACGGAACCCGCCCTGACAGAACTGCTAAATTCCCAGAAAAGTGTAACAAACATAAACACAAAATATGATCACGATATGTTCAATGTACAGAAAATTGTTTTTACGATACAGAAAACAAATTAAAAATAAGTACAAAACCACCGATGGAAGTGCAAAGCGCATTGGAATATTGTGCATCATTAAAATTACTTACACAAAGAATTTATTATAATATCACATTTTTTTAAGAAAACTGTATAATATATTATAAATTTATATTATATTTATATAATAGAAAATGTTTATATTATATATATATATAAATATTATTTATATATAAATATAAATATTTCTATTATTTCAAATATACAGGGTCATCAAAAAGTATCGGACCCCCTAATATCTTTAGTTAGAATGCATTTTAAAGAAAATGTCCAATAGCAAAGTTATGTGGTTTCAAGCGGGGAGTAAGATGATGATATTGACTTTGATTTTGATCATGTCCTTTAAGGTCATTTCAAGGTCAACCTTGTTTTTTTAAATAGAACTTCCTACATTTGATTGCATATTTTTATAGCTTATCTCGAGAGCTTTCCAAAACACTATAATAAAACATTTTTTCCTTACGTACTTTTTGAGTTATAAAGGATTGCAATTAACAATTTGTTAAGTGGCGTGTGATTCCGGCCAGTTAAGGCAAGAGTGGCGTGTGGGTCCGGCCAGTTAAGACAAAAGTGGCGTGTGGGTCCGGCCAGTTAAAACAAGAGTGGCGTGTGGGTCCGGCCAGTTAAGACAAGAGTGGCGTGTGGGTCCGGCCAGTTAAGGCAAGAATGGCGTTTGATTCCGGCCAGTTAAGACAAGAATGGCGTGTGGGTCCGGCCAGTTAAGACAATAATGGCGTGTGGGTCCGGCCAGTTAAAGCGAATTTCATTCCAATTGGTCAGCTTGGGCAAAATATTCAATTGTATCAAACAATTCACACCAAATGTTCAAATTGTTGTCCTTTAACAGTCTGGCAATATGCCAATCTGTTATAAACAGCTGAAACCGCATTCTGGTATGTTTCTGGCGGTATTAGTTTTATCTCTCGAGTTATTCTCCCTCTTAAATCATCTAAATCTTGAGGCTTCGTGGCATCAACTTTACATTTCAAGTAACCCCACAAAAAAAAGTCAAGTGGGGTCAAGTCCAGAGACCGATGTGGCCACTCAATATGACCCCTTCGCTCTATCCACCTGTCCAGAAAGACCTCATTTAAATATTGACGGACAATGACACCATAATGTGAAGCTCCATCCTGTTGGAAATAAATTTTATCTATATTTCCACCAGCTATGTTTCGACTAGCTGGAACAATTTGTTCGCGAAGTATGACTGTGTATACCTGTACTGTCAAATTGCCTTCAATGAAGAAAGGGCCAACTGGTCTACCATTAAGAATACTAGCCCTTATTTTTAGGAATTCAAATTATTAGAGGGTTTTTCCTATCCATGCACTACTGCCCAAGAACATCAATAGCTTTTTGTAGAATTATCTACATTATGTAAAATGTAGAGGATGAATATTTCACAACATTTACATCAATGAGGCAACTATATTGTTCCTTTGCATGTACATCCACATTTCACGATGAATCTATTTTAACTCATTCAATTTACTAAACACCTGAATATCAGGCGTCACCATCTTATTATTATCAATGGCAACAGCATTCTTAGGGTATGTACTTCCATGAAGACAGTTGCTTCCAGAAATATCTTTCTGAGAAGCAACTATAATTACAAATTTATTATCAACAATCCTCTACATTAGAAATAATATTGTTATATGAGTTTAAGGGAAATTCTCTATCAATAATTCCACATTAAATCGATTCTACTTCTTCTATTTTATTCTCCCATTTATTATTTTAATAATAATTATAATTCACTTAATATTCCTCCATGAATCAGGGTCATCTAATCCTTTAGGAGTCCCAAGAGATTATCAAAAAATCCTCTTCTATAAATATTTTACTATAAAAGATGTATACGGCTACATGGTAGTCATAGTAGTTTTCACCACAATCATTATACAATATCCTTACGTATTTAGAGACTCAGACAACTTTACTGCTGCCAATCCAATAGT